CTGGGTTCCATCCTCAGCACAGCATAAAAATAAATAAATAAATAAAATAAAGGTATCATGTCCAACTACAACTAAAATAAATAAACCAGCTGTGATACTCTTCTGGTACTCACTGCTCTCAGGCACATAGTTTTCTGGTAGATACTTTTCAGCAAGGCAATTTTACTTTTAGGAGTTTAAGGAAATAATCTAAAACATGCAGTAAGTTTTAAATTCATCATATTTAAAATATTGAAAAATATGATGGATATAGTGGTGCACACCTGTAATCTCAGCGGCTTGGCAGGCTGAGACAGGAGGATGGTGAGTTCAAAGCTAGCCTCAGCAATGGTGAGGCACTAAGCAACTCAGTGAGATCCTGTCTCTAAATAAAATACACAACAGGGCTGAGGATGTAGCTCAGTGGTTGGGAGCCCCTGAGTTCAATCCCTGGTACCCTCCCCCAAAAAACTACTGAAAAACTTAAAACATCCTAAATATCAAACCAAAACTATGCAACTTTTATTTTGAATTTTAAACAATCCTTTTAATTTGCTACTGGGCTAAAAGGCAGGAATGGTAACTACAGCAGTTTCAGAGATTGAAAGTATGCACTTAAATACTTCACATTACTGAAAGCAGGAAGAACAGTAGCAACAAACGGATAAAAGCTGACTTCTCTAGTGGGGGAAAATATACACTAAAAATATTAACAATGACCAACTGGGACAATCACAAATGATTTTACTATCTTTTCTTTTTTGGTACTGGGGATTGAACCCAGGTGCATTCTACCAATGAGCTACATCTCTAGCCCTTTTTATTTTTTGAGACGGGTTATCAGTAAATTTTGCTGAGGCTGGCCTTGAATTTGCGATTCTCCTGCCCTAGTCTTCCAAGTCATGGGGATTACAGGTATGTGCCACTAGGCCTGGCAAACTATTTCTTTTTGAGTTTCCTAGAACATGTACATATTACTTATAAGGAAACTATATTAGCTAACTTTTAAATTTATTTTCTGATTATATAAATATATGACTTTAAAAACTGCTGAGCATGATGACAGATGCCTGTAATCTCAGAAGCAGGAGGACTGCAAATTTGAGGCCAAATTTGGTTAAGGATATAGCTCATGTGAGAGGCCCTGAGTTTAATCCCTAGAATGGGGTGGGGGGCCTTGTTAAGATGCTGAGGCTGGCTTTGAACTTTCGATCTTCCTACCTGAGTCTCCCAAATCACTGGGATTATAGGAATGTACCATCATGCCTGGCTCCAGACAGCATTTTAAAACCGGTAGGAAAAGGACAACTGGATCTCTACATCTCTCCTTTTACTAAAATTGTATTCTGTATTTAAATCTAATTATAAAAGAGAAAAAACCACAAAAATAATAGAAGGAAATATGGATAATTAAAATATAACACTTTGGGGTTGTAGCTCAGTGGCAGAATATCTGCCTAATCTCTAATATTACCAATAACAAAAATACTACAGAAGTGGTTTGCAATTATGCTAATAGGTTATTATTTTTCAAGTTTTTTTTTTTTTGGGGTGGTGCTGGGGATTAAACCCAGGGCCTTGTGTATGCACTATTTTTCAAGCTTTTATAGACAAAAATAAATACTCCTGGAGGTGGGGGAATAAAATGATTTAGGAGAAAAATTATAAAACTCACAAATTAACATTAAACACTAAAAAATAATAAATTTAATATTGGACTGAAGATGAGGCTCAGCAGTAAAGTGCTTCCCTAGCATGCAAAAGTTTAATCCCCAACACCATAAAAAAGTACAAAAAAACTCAAACAAAAAATCTTGGGCTGGGGATGTGGCTCAAGTGGTATTGAGCTTGCCTAGCATGTGTGAGGCACTGGTTTCAATTCTCAGCACCACGTGGAAGTGAAATAAAGATATTGTGTCCACCTAAAACTAAAAAATATAAAAAAAAAATCTTGCTAAAGCCAAAGAAATACAAATAAGAATGAGGAAATTTTCATAGAAAAGAAAACTTTTTAAAACTACCATACTGGTAAAAATATAAGATTCACAAAACTATTAGAAAGGAATGCAGGAAAAAAAAAAAAAACGGTGTGGAGACTAACTGGGTACTCTCATGTACTACTGAAGAATGAATTGGTACATTTATGGAAGGCAGTAAAAAAAATAAAATATTATTTCCCCCTAGAAAACCTGATTTTAGGAATTCATCTTAAAGAGAATACTTTGTTATCATTAAGGAATTTATTTAAAAATACTCATGGGGGCTAGGCTGGGGATATAGCTCAGTTGGTAGAGTGCTTGCCTTATATGCACAAGGCCCTGGGATAGATCCCTACCCGCCACCACACACACAGACACACACACACAAACAACTCATGGGTGGAGCTGGGGATATAATTCAGTTATAAAACATCTCCCTAACACCTGTGAGGGCCCTAGGTTCAGATCCCCAGCACCACAAAAGCAAAACAAAACACCTCACTGGGACATTGTCTACCACAGTAAATGATTAGAAACAAGATAAATGTTTCCTAATAGTGTCCATTGTTACAGGACATTATATTCTTACTATGATATAGGCAGTAATGAAAAAATGATGCAAATCTATATTTTTTATTATTTGTTTATTGATACCAGGTATTGAACCCAGAAGTATTTAACCACTAAGCCACATCCCCAGCCCTGTTTGGTTTTTTATTTAGAGACAGGGTCTCACTGGGATTACAGGAATGTACCACAGTGCCTGGCTCTTTGGGCCTTGCTAAGTTGCTGAGGCTGGCTTTGAACTTGATATCCTCCTGCTTCAGCCTCCCAAGTTGCTGGGATTACATGAGTGTGCCACTGTGCCCAGCTTCTATCTATTATTTAAAAAATCAGTTTCATGAGGCTGGGTTTGTAGCTCAGTGGTAGAGCACTTGCCTAGCATGTATTGGGCCCTGGGTTCAATCCCCAGTACCACATAAAACTAAATGAACAAAATAAAGGTATGGTGCTCACCTACGAGAAAAAGAAAAAAAAAAGCCAGTTTCACAACATAGTTTTGCATGAAAACAGAAGATTACATAACAGTTGCATAACATATTTGGTAAAAAATATATGTGTACAACTCTATGTACAGACATTTGAGACAGATGTATGAAAAGCTAGTTACCAAAATGTGTTATAATAGTAGTCAGCTCTATTTTTAGTTGTAGATGGACACATGCCTTTATTTTATTTATTTATTTTATGTGGTGCTGAGAATTGAACCTAGTGCCTCAAGTTGTTAGGCAAGTGCTCTACCACTAAGCCACAACCCCAGCCCCCAGGTGATTTTTGAAATATTTTTATTTTGTATGTGTGGTGCTGGGGATCATATATGTAGCACTAAGCTACATCTCCAGCCCTTAAAATGTTTTATAAGTAAGCATGGCATGTTTTGTGAGAATGTATTAGGTATCTGTAGTAACCACCTCACCACTTGATGGCAGGGACTGTATCTTTTGATCTTTGTATATCTGGAACAAAGCTCAGTTTGGTTCACAACTGGCATTTCAATAATAACAATTAAATGAACTTCCCTCTATTTTTTTGGAAAGTAAAAGATACACCATAACTATCAAGTTATATATCCACAGACGACTTGGGGTTTTTGAAGTGAAAACAGCTTTTAAAAATGTCCATTCCAAATATGCTATAATGAATACATTTTAAAAAACCCAAAACTGGGTGAAGTGGCACACACCTACAGTCACAGCTATTGGAGAAACTAAGACAGGAGGATCACTTGAGCTCAGGAATTTGTTTATCCTGTGCAACACATAAAGATCCCCACCTCAAAAAACCTGAGACAATGAAAAAATGATAAAATGAAAAGGATAAAAAAGCATGTGTTCGGGCCAGGGTTGTGGCTCAGTGGTAGAGTGCTTGCCTAGCATGCGGAAGGCACTGGGTTTCATCCCCCGCACCACATAAAAAAATAAACAAAATAAAGGTATTGTGTCCATCTACAACTTAAAAAAAAAGTATTGTTTTTCATTTCTTTTCATTCATTTCAGTTCCATTGTTATATGCTCATGTTACTTTATAACAATGCAGCCAAATTATGCATACTATCTTGTAACATATTTTTTCCTCAACAATTTATGGAGCACACTTCTTTTTGACAACATATATTTCTAAATCATTTGCAGTATATATTTTTTTCCTGGTACCAGAGATTGAGCCCAGGGACATTTTATATTGAGTTACAGCCTAGCTCTTTTCTTTCTTTTATTTTAAAAGACTCTTTTACCCAGTGGCTTGGGAGGTTGAGGCAGCAGGGTCATGAGTTCAAAGCCAGCCTCAGCAACAGTGAGGAGCTAAGCAATGCAGTGAGACCCTGTCTCTAAATAAAATACAAAAAAGGGCTGGGGGGCTGGGGCTGTAGCTCAGTGGTAGTGCACTTGCCTCACAGGTGTGAGACACTGGGTTCAATCCTCAGCACCACATAAAAAGAAAGATATTGTGACCATCTACAACCAAAAAGGGGTTGGGGGGCTGGAGATGTGACTCAGTGGTCAAGTGCCCCTGAATTTAATACCTGGTACCAAAAACAAATCAAAACAAAACAAAACAAAACCAAAAAACCTCACTTAGTTGCCAAAGCTGGCATCAAACTTATGATCCTCCTGCCTCAGCCTCCCAAATAGTGAGATTACAGGCCTAGACCACCATGCAAAAATATGATCAACATTCTTAAACTGAATCTTTGTATGTGTCTTGAATTATTTCCTTAATGGAAATAATGGCATTCAAGGTCAACATTTTTTATGATTGATTATTCTGATATAGGCTTATTTTTGAGAAAAGTTATACCAGTTTATACTCATACTCTCAAGACTGTATGGCATCCATTTCCTTAGAAAAACAATGACAAATCAATTATTGTTTAAGTGCCTTCTAAGTAGTAGAGATATTGTGTTAGCTGCTGTTCTCATGAGAACCAGACAATATTGATTTTTTTTCCTTTGCCAATCTAATACATTAAAAATTATTTCGGGGGTTGTAGTTGTGGCTCAGCGGTAGAGCACTTGCATAGATAGCACATGCGAGGTGCTGGGTTCGATCCTTAGCACCATGAAAAAATAAATAAAATAAAGATATTAAAAAGAAAATTATTTCAGGGCTGGGGTTGTAGCTCAGTAGTACAGCGCTCGCCTAGCATGTGTGAGGCCCTGGGTTTGATCCTCAGCACCACATAAAAATAAATAAAATAGGGCTGGGGATGTGGCTCAAGCGGTAGCGCGCTCGCCTGGCATGCGTGCGGCCTGGGTTCGATCCTCAGCACCACATACAAAAACAAAGATATTGTGTCCACCGAAAACTAAAAAATAAATATTGAAAAAATTTAAAAAATAAAAATGAAATAAAAAATAAAAAATAAATAAATAAAATAAAGGTATTGTATCCAACTAAAATATAAATATTAAAAAAATATTTCAATGTTTATTATTTCAATGCTTTTGTTATTGTTGTCACCATTTGTACTGTGTCTTTCTTGAATTATCCGTGCATCTTCTATTGTTCACTTCTGTAAGGTGCAGCTGCTTTTTTTTTCTTTTCTTTATGGTGCTGGGGATTGAACCCGGGGCCTAACATATGCTAGGCAAGCACTCTACCACTGAGCTACATCCCCATCCCCTGTAGTGTTTTTTATTAATTAAAAATTTAGGGGGCTGGGGTTGTGGCTCAGCAGTAAGAGTGCTCACCTAGCACATGTAGGGTCCTGGATTCAATCCTCAGTACCACATTAAAAAAATAAAATACAAAAAGGTATTATGTCCAAATACAACTAAAAAATATATATATATATATATACATATATAATTTAGATGTTTGTAAAATGTGCAAATATTCTTCCCATTCATCTAAACAATACTTACTCAATGCCTGGGGATACATGAGTGACCAAGATAAAAATCCTTCTCATGAACTTTACATTCTACTGTCTCTTGCCACTTCCCTTTTAATTTACAGTATTTTAGGAAATTCAGGTTTTAAGCTTTTATATAGTCAAATATCCTTTCACTTTAGAGTTTCTGCCTTTCATATCTTGCTTATATATTATTTTTATAAGAAAAGCCTTTAAAAGGTAAGACTAAAAAAAAAAAAAAAGAGTTCAACATCTCCAAAGTAACCCCACCCTGATCCAAAAACAGTCGCTTACATCTGTGTCCACCCACTGGCGAACATCCATGGGTGCAGCTGTCATGTCATCTATTTTGTAAACAATATTGGTTGGAGCCTTCTCTGCGTGTCTGATTATTCCCACAATAGTGACCTAGGTTAGGAGGGAAAAATAGAAGAGTTCAATTTTTCTGGAAACCAAAGCAACATTTATATACTTTTAAAAAAGTCTTATTTCATTCTTTTCATGATTAAGTGACTTTTCTACAAATTCTTTTACACACCTGTGAAATTTCAACATTCCCAATTTTGAACATTTCATCAACCAGAGTAGCAGAAAGCAGCTGAGATATGGTACAGGGTACAATGTGCTGGGCTCGGGCTCTCTGAAGAGAAAACATTGTACATAAATTAAATTGAGAGAATAACAACTGTCACTCATTTAATAGTCACCATGTGCTAAGTAGTTTAAATATATTAGAACATGAAACTTTCAAAATTAAACTCATTGTTCTTATTTTACAGACAGAAACTAAGGTCATAAAGCTAACAAATGTTTTGGAATTCAAACACTTGTTTACCTGTCTCCAAAGTTCCTACAGAATGAGTCTGTGTTGCACTGTGGATTTTTCCAAATATGTAGACCCAAAAGGAGATTAAGATAAGGTTTGCTGCCAGAACATTTAGGAAAAAACCACAGCTTTAGGGTGAAGGCAGGCTGTTCAGGACATTGATGAGATGACAAAGCATTGGGAAAGGGTTTGATAAATAGGCAGCAGAGATAGAACTTTAGAGTTCTAGTCTTCTAATAAAATGTAACAAAAAGTTAGATGTATGGCTTTCTTAAGAACAGATGTTCTAACAATCAGATGGAATTTCTAAGGAAAATGAGGCAAGAGCTTAGCCATGTTGGACATTTTAATTGTGAGAAGATGGGATGGACAGAAGATTCTACTGTAGACACTCAAATCATATCCTAAAGCAGCGTGACAAAAGTATAAACTCTTATTTTTGCCTGTCACTGAGAAGGGGTAATCTGGGTGACATAAAGATAAGTAAGACAGGATTTGCCTCCTTCAACACCCTTTTTTTTTTTGGTGGGGATTGAACCCAGAGGCACTTTAATACTGAGTGACATCTCTAGCCCTTTATTTTTTAATTTGAAATAGCAATTTCCTAAAAGAGTTTTCTTGAGTTGGATTTTTTTTTTTTAATTATTTTTTATTTTTGCAGTGCTGGGGTCAAACCAGGTGGTGGTGGCATAACCACAGCTATGGAGCTGGGATTTGAGTACAGGTCTAGAGTACTTTCTGGCCCCACAACCATGTCTTTGCTGCTTTTCTGTGCAGGTTCCTGATTTATGCTGAAAATACTATGAACACCTCAGTTGTGATAGGTTAAAACAGAAATATGGTAGATTATGAGACATAAATCCTAGAACCTCTGAAAATAATATAAATATTAACATAACTTCACCTATAAAATACCATAGGCAATGGCAGGATAGATGGGTGCAGAGGAGCCAGAGGCTTTGCACAACAGGTCTGACCCATTAAGCCCAACCCTCTCCTCTGTGCTCTGCTCCTCAGAGCCCTGTCTCCCTCAGCCCTCCACTTCCCGCCCCGCCTAATATCTGAGTTTTGTGCCAGCTCCTAACTTCCCTCTGTAGCTCAGTCTGTCTGGAGTCCAGTGAACTGGGGCAGGGTAGGGGAGGTGCAACAGAGGAAGTGGTACCAAGAAGGTCTGGAAAGAAAGCTATGTTCCCTCCTGGGGACATCTCCTCAGCTTCCCTTCCTGGCCCCCTGCCTGGACAGATGTGGAGATACTTAGCTTGAAGCTGTGGCCACTGTTCTGAAAGTGAGTGTTTCTACCTTTCAAGTTCTAAGCAAAACATACAATGTATATAAAGTGCTAATGCCAATCTCTGTACATAGTAGATATTAAATAAATATTATTACTCCTCTCATAAAAAAAAAGTTACACATGGGACATGGTTGAGGTGTTAATGTCTTCTAATTCATCTTAAATCAGGTATTTCTTGGTTTTCTTTTTTAGCATATATTGTATGTCAGGAATTGATCAAAAGGGTTGTTGGATTGTTCAAAGGTACCTGCGAAAGTACGTTTAATTTTTTTTTAAATTAAATATTCATAACTATGAACCACAGGCTATTCTAACAGTATTGTATGAAAAAAAATCACAATATAGATAAGAAATGGTCAGCATAGGAAATTTCAACCAAATATAACAAATTTATAATCCATAGGAAACATTTTAGAGAGGGCTTTTATCTAACTTACTAACCATCATTCTTTTCTGAGAAGCTGTCTTAATGCATAGCCCAAACTGGAGATTTTAAGATTAAAAATTCTAATAACCAGAATGGAGAAAAATAGTTAAGTTTGAGAAAAAATAAGAACCAGTAATCCATCTCCTGTTTTCTCTTTAAAAAAAAAGACAAAGTTGGAGCTGGTTGTGGTTCAGTGGTAGAGTACTCACCCCGCATGTATGGGACCCTGGGTTCAATCCTCAGCACCACATAAAAAATAAATAAATAAGTGAAATAAAGGTATTGGGTCCAATTGCAACTAAAAAATAATTAAAAAAAAAAAAAGAAAGACAAAGTTGGAGAAATGAAACCCCAGGGGCTGGGAGTATGCTCAGTAGTTACACTTGGTACACAAGGCCCTGGATTCCATGTAAAACTTTTTAATTTTAAAAATAGAAGCCAGGCATGGTGGCAAAGGCCTGTAATCCCAGTGGCTCAGGAGGCTGAGCCAAGAGGATTGAGTTCAAAGCCAGCCTCAGCAAAGGCAAGGTGCTAAGCAACTCAGTGAGACCCTGTCTCTAAATAGGGCTGGGGATGTGGCTCAGTAGTCAAGTGCCCTTAAGTTCAATCCCCCAGACCAAAAAAAAAAAAAAAAAAAAATTAAAAGATAGGCAGTGAAGTCACCTCTGATTTTCCAGAAAAAAAAAAAGAGAGAAGCTGCTGCTCACCAGATTTTGAATCTGCCTAGTGTCACATATGCATTCTCTGCTTCCAATTACTCACTAGCTATGTCCTTAAATACACTGAATCTCTGCTGTACATTGGAATAACCACCTTATACAACTAAATGAAATAATCTGCATAAAAAATATAAAGCAATGACCAAATGTATAGGAATTATCAGTGAATTTTCCCCTCCACCACCACCCACACATACTTCTGAATTAAAAGTGTTAGGTAAGGTTTATCATCCTGTATGGCAACATACAACCTGCTCATATTGAATTTTAACAACACATCTGACACCTATAGAGAAGCCAAATCAATTCTGTATTACAAGATGAATCCAACAGCATATGGTTAAGAGTGAATAAACATTTAGACAGCTTCCTATAGATCACATTCCTACATGTTCTCTTTACCAATTTTCAGATCCATCCTGTGATATCAGTAGTACTGGTACCATCAACCAGTGTGAAAAGCGAAGGGTCACAGGCTTCAAGTTGCTTCCCCAAAGTCAGACTGCCACTTAAAAGGCAAAATTAATTCTGTAGCCTATGTATTCTGCCTCTAAAACCCATATTCTTTTTAGTAATAACATCAGGGACCCTTTATACAGGGAAGGCACTTTGTATTTAAGTCTCACTACAACCCTGTAAGGTAAGTATGTGTTTAACCTCATTTAGTAGGTGCCAAACTGATTCCCAAGAAGATTAATAATATTCCATCGACTCACTGTTCTTTATGCAGGACATCTATACAAACTTAATTGAGCGATTTTATAGATGTTCTATAAGTTTATCATTTTTTATAGATGTTCTGTATCTAAAACGATAGGACACAATGGGTCAAGAAAAGTATGCAATGCTCCCCTGCAAGCAAAGTTAGAGAATCATCATGCTCTTTCCACTGCAGTTTGTTACCTCCCCACAATTAATTAGAAAACGCCTCTGAATACACAAACAATGTAAAGCAAGTTATAAGTTCAGAGTTTTTCCACAAGACTGATTCACTAACTACGGTCAAGTTTAAAACAAAGCCGAAGAACTGCGGATGCGAAATTAGGGAAAATGTCATTTTAAAAAATCTATATTTTTTAGATGCAGCTGGACACAATACCTTTATTTTATTTATTTATTTTTATGTGGTGCTGAGGATCGAACCTAGGGCCTCCCACGTGCTAGGCGAGCGCTCTACCATTGAGCCACAATCCCAGCCCAGAAAATGTCATTTTTAAAGTTCACAGCATCTAATCATAAAGACATGGGACACCATCAGTTCGTGTTTAACACCCTTACTTCGCCTCAAAAAATTTCTCTGATGGGTGAGTGAAGAGCTTCAGAACAGAATGGAATAAAACAAAACAAAGTCTTTCAACCTACTGATTTCTTTTCAGCCTGGGAAGGTGTCGGCGATCCGAAGCCCCCCGGGGACTGAGTGTAGCTGCTGGCTCCCCCAAAGGTGGTGGAGCTGCTATAGCTTTCAAATCCACCTGTTTTTGAACGACAGTATTAGTACCTGTGCTGTCTGCCGGGTCTGGGAGCAGAAATTTCAGGCCTCCCAAACACTGCCCCATCTTCCTCATCTTCTCCACCACACTCCCCGCGCCACTCGCCGCCACCAGTCTCTCCCACCCGAGGCTCGCGCTCCGGCTAAACCCTCCCGCGCCTCTCCTCCTCCCGCCCCACCCATCATTACTATTCCACATGTCGGCCGCGATTTCTTTGGGAAAGAAGTCCAGAAAGTTCCGGTTTGGTGGGCTCGCCAAACTCCTCAGAATCCCGCTGCTGCGACAACGTTGTTTCTACTTTTTTCTGGCGCCACAAATTCCTTCCCGCGAATGACGGAGCCAGTGAGCGCCAAGGACGTTTCTCGCTTCGGCCAATCAACGCTCACGAATCCTACGCTTTTTCCTGTCTCCTCAGGCCAGGATTCCAAAAACGCGCACAGCCGCAAGTGGAACCAGAAGCTTCTGCGGCCATCTTTACTAAGGGCAAAACCTGTCGCACAAGCAAACGAAAGGAGGTACGAGATGCTGATAGGATGGTATCTAAAGAAAACAGCCAATCAAAACAACACTTCCGTAAAACGCGTAATTCCACTCCTGTCAAGTGAACGATCCCTTACGTCACTTCCTTTGCGCGATGTTCTCAAGTTCCCGCCACTGGGCGATCACTGGGCGATCGACGCTTAATCAAAATTGCTATTTGTACAGATCCCAGTTTGACGTTCTGGCCTCATGGTCATGTGGCATTTGCACACCTTACGTAGCCTCCCAGCTACCCCTCGGGGGGTTGCTTGTTCTTTATCATAAGGAGACAGATTGTCTCACTGTAACACCATCCACACGGTAGTCTTTTTTTTTTTTTTAAGAGGGGGGGAGACAGAGAGAGAGAGAATTTTAATATTTATTTTTTCATTTTCGGCGACCACAACATCTTTATTTGTATGTGGTGCTGAGGATCGAACCCAGGCCCCACGCATGCCAGGCGAGCGCGCTACCGCTTGGAGACAATAGTCTCGCTAAGTTGCTGAGACTGTCCTAGAAGTTGCATTCTTTCTACCTTAGCTTCCCAAGTCATTGGGGTTTCAAGCGTGAACCACCATATTTACCACATTTACCAAATCTTGTGATGTGCTGTTATTTGCAGTTTTACAAGTGACGTAATTAAGACACAGAAAGGCTAAATTGTTGGAGTCTGCATTCAAGCCCAGGGAGGGTGATTCCATTAACCGGTGTGGTTACTGCATCTACTAGAACTGGGTCAAGAGCTCATAATGACAACTAGGAGTTCAGGCAAGAAAACTAAATATGGTGGGTTGGAGCAGGTAATTTTCAATAAGTATTTTTTTTCTATACTGTACAAAAACCACACAAGAATAATAATAACTGCTATAATAACTGTTGCTAGGTGCTTGGTCATCAAATTTTTTTTTTTAGAAGATGACAAATCTTTTTTCTTATGTCAAAATTTCTGAATTTGGGGCTGGGGATATGGCTCAAGCGGTAGCGAGCTCGCCTGGCATGCGTGCGGCCCGGGTTCGATCCTCAGCACCACATACAAACAAAGATGTTGTGTCTGCCGAAAACTAAAAAATAAATATTAAAGATTCTCTCTGTCTCTCTCTTTCTCTCATCTCTCTCTTTAAAAAAAAAATTCTGAATTTTACATGTTTATAAATAAATTTAAAATTTTGAAAAAACATAATGTGGGCCAAACAAAAAGTAGCATCAGTCAGCACATCAGCACATGTTAACTTCTGTACCACTTCTTTCTTAGATTCTGTAATTCTATAAGCCCCCAAATCACCGAGAAATAAGATATAGCCAAGGACAGAAGACTGAGGCATACCAAGGTGGCATTAGTTTATTAAGCCAAAGGTAGTTGAAACATACAGTCTGCTATTAAGCATATTTTAATGTCTAATATGAATATATTTGAAATAAAGACTATAGCATTCTGGGGAATTTAAGATGAAGGTACACTCAAGTTCATTGGCATCACTTGGGGTTCAATTAGTCATAAATTCAACAAATAAGATCATAATGTTTAAAAATAAATCAGGAATCTGGATGTGTAGCTCAGTGGTAGAGAGCTTGCCTAGCACGTGAGAGGCTCTGGATTTGATACTCAGCACAGTAAAAAGAAAAAAAGCAACTTTAAATCAAAATGTCATAATTTTGTTTTTAGACAAACAGGAAATACCCTGTCCCATGGACATAGCCCCACCCCTCCACTCCCCACTGGAACTAACATGACCACATACCCTAGAGAGGTGCTGTTCAAGGTTTCTGGCTGATTTATGAAGAATACCTACCTCATTATGTCATTGCTCCTGTGATTTTTTTTTAAAGATAGAGAGAAAGAGAATTTTTTTAATATTTATTTTTCAGTTTTCGGTGGATATAACATCTTTATTTTATTTTTTTAATGTGGTGTTGAGGATCGAACCCAGCGCCCTGCACATGCCAAGCAACCGCATTACCGCTTGAGCCACATCCCCTGCTCAACTCCTGTGATTTTTTTGTTTGTTTTACTGGGGGATTGAATCCAGGGGCACTCTACCACTGACTTATGTCCTCAGTCCTTTTTTAAAAATATATATTTTTAGTTGTTGATGGACCTTTACTTTATTTATTTTTTATATGTAGTGCTGATAATCAAACCCAGTACATCACACATACTCTACAACTGAGCTACAACCACAGTCCCTCCCAACCTCTTTTTTTGTGGGAGTACTGGGGATTGAACCCAGGGGTACTGACAACTGAGCCACATCCCCAGCCCTATTTTGTATTTTATTTAGAGACAGGGTCTCACTGAGTTACTTAGTGCCTTGCTGTTGCTGAGGCTGGCTTTGAATTTTCGATCCCCCTGCCTCAGCCTCCTGAGCCACTGGGATTATGGGTGTGGACCACCTTTGACCTTTGAGAACTGCATCGGTGTACTTGGCCACTCTGGTGAGACTGAGTGGTCAGCCTAGTTACAGCTGTTAAATAGAGGAGCTGGGAGCAATTTCAGCAATGCATAACTCCTGAGCCCAAGTCTTTCCCACAATGCCTTGTCTTTCCTTATGCTTTTTCGTTGTTGTTGTTGTTGTTCATTCCCTCAACCTCGTTAGCACTTGAGCCCTCACTCGGTACTTTGGCACTGTTGTCAATCAAATAGTAACAAAAAGAGGCTTACAGTCACTTTGCTAAAAAGTTTGCAGTGTGTGTGTGTGTGTGTGTGTGTGTGTGTGTGTGTTGCTGGGGATGAAACCCTGAGGCTTTCACATGCCGGGCAAATGTTCTACCTCTGAGCTACAATTTTAGACTATCCGAGGGAGAAGTGTACCCAGGAGGTACAGACAGAGAAATCTACAAAGGGGTGATAGTGCCCAATCTAGTTGTCATGCCAAGAACTTTGTTTTTTCACCACAGCCATGGGGAGCCACTGAAGGTTCTAGAACAGGGGAGTTACAAAATCATTTCCAGGTTTTGAGATGATCTTGTGGGCAGAGTGAGGAAGTACTGGGGCTGCTTGAGATAAGAGGCAAGGAGATCTGTTAGGAAACTGGATTAACAGACCAAGGTAGCCACGGTGGGGGCCCAAACCACACCAGACACAGAGGGAAAGAAAAGGACGGATAAACTGGGCGCAGTGCACTTGCCTATAATCTCAGTGATTTGGGAGGCTGAGGTAGAAGGATTGCAAATTCAAGGCCAGCCTGGAGGACTTAGTGACACCCTGTCTCAAAATAAAAAATAAAAAAGGGCTAGGGATGCAGCTCAGTGGTGGAGCACCTCTGGGTTCAATCCCCAGTACAATAAATGAATAAAACACAGATAAAGCAGAAGTCATAGAAAAGGGGAAGATTTAAGGTGTGTTTGTCATTAATTTTTTTTATTCATCTAGTCAACTTCATTTATTTCAACATACATTTATTGGTTTTATGAGTGCATATCTTGTAGGAAGAGATGTGTTAACCCTGACCTGACTCTCAATGAGAACCTGGGTAACAAGGAAGTCTATAGGCGAAGAACCACGAATGAAGTATGTTTCCTCAGTGAATATTTGATTGTGCCCATATTGTCAGCTGTGGCCAAATTTAGAATTTCTCTATGAGATTTTTGTTTGTTTGTTGTTTTGTTTTTATTTTGATGCTGGGTATTGAGCACAAGGGTATTCTATCTCTTCGGTAAATCCCCAGCCTTCCTTTGTTTTTGAGACAGGGTCTTGCTAAATTACTGAGGCTGATCTCAAATTTGTGATCCTTGTGCTTCAGTTTTCTGAGTAGCTGGGATTACAAGCATGTGTCCCTGCACCTGGCTGTCTTTGAGTTCTTTAGAGAGCAGCAATTACAAAAACTCAGCTTACAGCAGAAACAACTCTATGGTATAATTTAAGGCCTCCCAGGTTCTGAAGTGGCAAAGACCTTTGTCCATTCCTAGCCTTTCTCAACTGAAAAATCTTAACTGGGCCTCTCCAGAAATCTTCAACATGGCTGATTTTAGGACTGTCAGTAGTCTCTGCAAAAGAGTCTCTGCAAAAGAGTCCAATGTAGATAAACTTACTATTTTCGTGTCGCCCTGTTTACTTGGCCACTAGCCGAGAAGATACCAGCACTCCAGGTGCTGGACACCCCCTTACTAGTTTTCACAAACATATCAAGTATAGTACTTTGAAGAAATATGCAAACAAGGCCTCTGGCCTTGAGCTGGGCTTCACAGAGATGTCTACATTTTTAAGATAAGTTACAATTGGGCTCCATGGTAACAGCTGGCAGGGGGAGGAAAGAAAGGGGAGAAGAAGCTCTCCCCTTCTCAGGTGTTGTCCTTAAAGAGTTAACTTGCCCAGAACAGTGAAAGAAAAAGCTGCTTTTATGTGAACTTCTGCAGACTGTGAACTTCTGAGCCCCTCCTCTTATACACTGGGTATAAAACTCTGAAACTCCCTGAACTTGAGGTTCAGGGGATTAATTGATTACAGCAAAAGCTGTGCCCCTGAACCTGGCTGCAGCCAAATAAAACTGTTTCCTGCTATCTTCAGTGCCTTGCCTCGTTTGTCCCTATAGTTCCATCATCAAATACTTATTCTTTTGGATCAGTCACTGCTGAAGAGGGAATATTTTGAATAATTATTCTATGATCTTTTCACTTCCCTGCTCCAAAACTTTCAGTGGATCCCTATGACCTATAGGAAGAAGTTCAAGGTCCTAGAATGGCATCCAAACCAGATACCAACACAGTTATGGTTTTTCATTTATCTGTGTGAATCTACCTAAAGCCTATTTATCTCACTAAACTGTAAACATTTTTGTTCATACTTTTTTCACCAGCACCTGGCTCAGTATCTGCTAATAAACATTTGAAGAATGAGTAGATGAATGTATGAGGGCAAAAGAGCAATGTACCTTTGCTTTAGAGTGCTTGGGACGCATATCAGCATTCACAAA